CCCAAAGGGCCGTGACCCACAGGTTGGGTACTGCTGCACTAGGGGAATAACTGATGTACCAAATAACAACCCAAACATGTAGCCAGGCCTTCCGGTGGGTTTTGGATGGAGTCCATTGGTACGTCCAGCACTGCGTCCCGCAGCATGGCACCATTTTTTTTAAGTGGTGATGTTGGTTACATATGAGAGCACTTAAGAAATGTCACAGTCCAGATGTCCAGACATGCTGACTCACCCAAAGCTACGTACAATGAGATTTATAAAAGAAAATACAGACTAGATTTATTTCTCTGTTCAAATACCTACTGAACTGCCACTCTGTGTCAGGCACTGGGCACACTGTGCTAGAGGCTGGCATTTTCTTGCTTATAAGAGGTGATTCCCATTCTTAGCATCTGACTATGAGTTAAAGAGTGGTGCATTTTTCTAGTGACTAAATTATAGGAGCATTGGCTTCACCCATACACAAGCCTTTACTAAGTCTGCATACAAGAGATTCTACAGATAAAGACTTAGACATAGCTCTTCTCCTCTGGCAACCTATATGCTGACTTGTATGTGTCGGAAAGGCAGACAGTAACAAAATGAGCCATCCAAGAACACAGACCCATTTATGACTTGGAACTCAAAGAGAGAAGTTTATCACTTAAGTAGCTGTCATCTTCCACTCTCCTGGGAACAGAGGCAGAGCTGACCGCGAAAGTCCTCTGCCCTGAAAGAAAATAAAGGTCCACCTGGTCACCTCCCAAATACCATGCCGCCACCAATGAACCTCACCATGATGCAGCCAGGCTGCCAAGGGAAGGGGAAGTGAACATCGACAAGGAATTAGCCACGGAGTCGTGTCACTTGAGTGGACTAAAAACAACAAAGAGAAACACAATCCCCTCCTGTAAGCCTGCGTTTTGGCATAGACCAGGCCAAACATTTGACTCCACAAGGCTGTTTTCTGTAACAGCTTCTTCATTCACTCGTGCTCATAAATGCCTAGCTTAGATTAGTTCTGTTCTTCAACGTCTGATCTTATTTACTAGTCGAAACACATGCCAGCCACAGATGTAGAGCAATGGTGTTCAACATGTATGCTGACGCTAAGGTCACACACGCATAGAAGCAATGTTCGTGGTTACAGAGAACAGAAGTAAGCATGAGGACCTGAACTTACTTCTGCCTAATTCCCAGATTCCTGACTTGAGGTCAACCAGAAGTCAAGATCCCAGGTAGGGCAAGTGTGAAGAGTTCAGCATCTTTCATACCATGTTGCAGTTAGCCTCTGTGAATTCAGCTTCCAAATGACGCGGGCCCAGGCACAGCAGAACAAAATAAGCCATGGTCTTGCATCAGCCCCATGACTGGTTACAAATCAGACTGCTGTGATCCAAAGGGTTTAGCCTGGCTGATTTTCCAAAGCACACCATCAGGCCTTTCTCCCTAGTATTTTTCAGTGTGGAAGCTCCACAGCACAGCAACACCCATGTCAGCACTGACAAATGGGTGGTACTGTGCTTAGGTGTCCAAAGTGAGAGACGAACCCAGGTCTCTCGCATGAAAGGTGAATGTTACCACTGAACCATCCCTACCCCTACTTTTTCATCTATTGCATAGTGACTAAGGATCTAGACTTTGCAGCAGAATTCTTGAGTCTAGCATTACCCTTCCTCTTTCCTTACCTGTAAATAAGCTACCTGACCTACCTTTATTATGGGTTTGTCCTCACAACTGAATGAGTTTATACACTATTTATAAAATATTAGCAACTGTGCCTGGCACATAGTAAGCACTACGTAACTGTTACATATATAAATACCAAAATAAAATTTAAACTTTCCCCTCTGCTCCCACCCATCCTAACAAATTCCCTTCCTGGCTGATACAAAGCTTTATCTTTCTATTCAAAGAGTCGTGAAATCACTCTCTTCTGGGGTATGGCGCTTCATGGTTAGCATGACTCACATCTTGTCACAGGCACCTCATTAGCTGGCAGGGACAGCAGGAGACAGTCACCAGCTCGCTCTGTTCTCACACTACGCCTAATACATCCACGGGTTCTTCCTTGTTCTGAAGAGAGAGGTGCTGGCCACGCAGATGGGGGCAATGGTGCCAGTGAGAGACAGCGATGGCTGGTCTAAAGAAACAGCTCCTCAGATATAACACAGCCATCACCCCATCTCTAGCCTCTTTGCCTGGATCCTGCATCTCCAATCAATCAGCTCCGATGTTAATAGCATTTAAGCATCCCCAGAAATCGGAGTTAAACAGACCCAGAAGGCCGGGGGTTCCAGAGTGTTAACTCAAGTTTTCTCATTCACAGTAGTGACATGTGGGGCCAAGTACTTCTTCAATGTGACGTGGCTTTGTGTGCGCTGTGAAACGTTTGGCAAGCTCCCTGGTGTGACGACCAAAGACATCGCGGGCCATTGCTAAGTGCTCCCCAAGTGTCTGAGAACCACTGCATTAGACACATGTCCTCAGTCCTTGATTCCCTCCAGCTCCTCTGCGGAGATAGCGAGAAAGGCAGGTGGGGAAAGGATGATGGGATAAGGGAATAGGAGAGGGAGAAATCTCTGCACCGAGCTTGCATCATGTGAGACAGCCTCTCCAGAGGACGAGGGGCAGCGCCACAAACATAATGGGAAGTAGCATTGATGAGAATCAGTAGTCCTCTGTGGGGCATGGCTAACAGATTAGCAGTGCTGTTGGCCTCTCAAGGGCTGTTAACCTTTGGGAACCATGTTAAAGCCATTGAGACGACTTGACAGAGTCCCTAATCCACGGTCATTAAGTGACCTTTTGGTGGGGCATACACGAGCTACAGCGAGACTTCATCTCACGAACTTGGGGTGTGTTAGGAGGAGAGACCAGTCCCTGGAGAAGGACACCGTGCCTGGTAAAGTGGAGGGGCAGAGAAAAAGAGGACAGCCCTCAACAAGATGGATTGACCCAACGGCTACAACAGTGACTTCAAACATGATGACACTTTTAAGGATGGCACAGGACAGGGCAGAATTTCCTTCTGTTGAATGTAGGATTGCTATGTGTTTGACCCCATCAAACAACAACCTTAGCTTAGGAAACA